GCAGCCCGGCCGCTCCCAGCCGCGCCGCGCCAGCCAAACTTCTGCAGACCATGTGCGGCCGCGGAGCAACTCCGCCGCCTGCGGGGCCTGCGGGGCCGCCGTGGTTCGGCCCGAGCGTGCGGGGGACAGCCCGTGCGCAGGCTCGGGGGCAGCGGGTCCCCTTCCCCTGGGTGACATCTGCGGACCCTCAGGCCCTTGACTTCTGGTGGGTGTGCAAGCCACACTCTGCAGAGCCCAGGGCAGCGAATGGCCATTTCTTGACTCCTTACAAGAATGGCATGCTTGTCCATGCAGGTGGAGGTGCGCCCCAGCTGGCTTCCTTGCAGCCTGGTGGAGTGTGATGTGAGAGCTTTCACATCAGCATTGACTAGCAGGCTTATTTCAGTGGTTGGGTTTTAATTACCATGTATTGGTCACCCCTCCAAAAAAAAAAATTTTTTTCCCCCCCGACAAAGCGTGTGTTATTGAAGGAATAATTTACCACTCTTTTTTAAAGTGTTGGTCTTTGGATTCCAGAGTTGGTGATTGTGTTAGATTTGGACATCCCGAAAACCTTTTGGACAAAGTCCTGAAACTTGTAACTTGGCCTAGGAATTGCAGTTCACTGATGGTCATTCTTAACACTTTGAGGTGTTTTTTTTTTTTCCCCTCCTCTGCTACCGTTTTGCCAAGTTGATGGTTTGAAAGCATGGTGCACTAAAGGATGGAATGTAATAGTTTCTCTGTTTTCCATATTTAGGATTTTGAAGTCTTAGGAAGGAGCATTCCTTGTCTTGTCAGAGGAAGGATGCATCGGGGTGGTGTCAGGGTCCCCTCTCCTGGTGACAGGATCCCTTGGTTTGATGTCTAAACCATTGTGCATTCCCCAGCCAGACTCTGGCTAGCACAGCAAGGCAGGGCCACGCATTATCTGTGGACACAGTAGAGTATACAAAGGTCTTTCTCTTGAAAATCCGAGTTTGATTGAGTTATCCTCGAAGCTACTGATGACTAATCCCTCCTTTGGTGGCAGCTAAGCAGCTGGGTAACTTCAGTGGCTCCCACATGAGTAATTGATTTTTAGCATATAGCTGCCGTCAACTTTTCTAGGTAGATGAGCGACTTGTGTAGGGAAATGACTGTGTGCGGAGCTGAGTTCTGACCCTGAGCTGAGGGTCTGGGCACAGCAGCTAGGCATCAGCATTGGTCTCTGTACTGATAAACAGCTGGACTGGCTTTACAGTTGACATCTGTTCCTTCTTACTATGAGACCAAGGCGGTTTTGACTGGTAAAGCATCATAGAGATGGTTAAGCTCTTGGCTCTTTTGGATGTCTGACAATGAATCTCTGGTGATGATCCACTGTTCACATGGTGGCACAGTGATTGAGCATTCATTTGCCAGCTGAAAGATGGGAGGGAATTACACACGCCCCAGGTGCTCCCCAGGAGAAAGTAGGGGTCGTTGGTTCTGTGAAGCTTTTATTACAGTCTTGGAAACTCTGGTTCTGCCTGGGCCTGCCATGAATTGGAGTTGACTGGCCAACAGTGGGTTTGGCTTAGAGGAAAAAGGGGGTGAGAATCAGTGCTGAAGTTTTGGTTGAAGCCATGGGGCAGAAACTTGGGTCTGTGTCTGGAGCATGCTGGCCTTGAGGCAGAAACACTGTGTATTTAGCACAGTCATTTCATGTGGTCTTTGTAATCGAACCCCAGTATAATCTCATGTATATAACGCTGTGATTATATTTGTAAAAATATGGGAAACTTTTTATTCTTAATGTGGGTCGGGAACCATGTTTTGGCATTTTATGTCTGTTTTTAGAGAGAAGCTTAGGGTCCTAAAAACTACCTGCTCTCTGCACAGCATCTTCCTCTTCAGGAGCAGGGCAGCATCCCTGCCAGTTCTCCAAAGGCATGGCATGCTTGCTTGGGTTTGCCAAGTAGGTCACTTAGTTCATACTGGGTCACTATCTTCAAATAATCATTACTGGGGGAAACTACTACAGTGTGTACTTTCTACAACTCTTTGAAGTGGAAACATTTAGATTGCTACATATGTACAAGCTGAGGAGGAAACAGTCCTTGTAGGGAAAGCAGAAGACAAGGCTCAGAGCCCAGGGAAGCTTGTGAGAGAGCCACAGATTGACTTAAGTAATAAGTGAAAAGATTGACTTAAGTAATAAGTGAAAAGAAGTTAAATCATCTGGCTAGTGTTCTATACTGGTTTATTTTCCTATTTTGAATATAAAGTGTCAGATTAGGAGTTCAAAAGTAGTTTTAACATATTTGACTTCAAAGAAAATTGCAGTGCAAGCCGATAATCTGGGTGGATTCATCAGAAGTGATGTTGTGCATAATTATTCTCCAAAGTCTTGTGCTCTGAAAGTTTTGCCTTGTATTACGCTGAGGCAAAACCCTAAAAATTGTTCCCAGAGAAGATAGGTAGAGAGTTTGGGCACTAGTTTACAAGGAATCTGAGGGCACTGGATTTAACCCCCCACCCCAGCTTTGACTTGATTTTTGTAGACCTTTGGTTGTGCTTGCTAGTCTAGTGCAATTTTGTGTCTTTTGGATTTTGTTTCAAGTTAAATGTAATCAGAATAAAATGTATTTTGCGGGTGTCTTCTATTTCACTGGTTTATTTTTTATAAGTTCGTAGAAAATATTTGCTTGTTAATTCTGATATTTTTTTTTGAGGGGATTCTAGAATTTAGGGAATGTGGGGGGTTTTTTTGTTTGTTTGTTTTAAACCTGTGAGTCTGAGACATTAATTCAAATTGTTATTTGGCACGCACACATAGGTAAGATGAAATAATTTTCAGGAAATAGTGCTTCTTTCTATGAGTGATCAATGCTAATACTCTTTTCTGTTTGGTTGGGTTTATTTTTTAAAGACTGATCACGATACCTAAAGTGTTTTCATCAATTCCTGTTGAGCCAGAACCTGTAGTTTAAAAACACTAGTATGTTCATTTTCTTGCTGTGTTACAAATTACCCTGAAATCTAGTGGTTTGAAACAGTAAACATCTGCGTTCTCTCAGTTTCTGTGGGTCAGGAATCTGGGAGTGGCTTAGTGGCGCAGTTCTGGATCAAGCTCCCCGAGGTTAAGGTCAGGATGGTGGCAGAGGCTGCAGCCTGGGACTTGCCTGGGGTTGGAGGAGCAGAGCTGCTTCACAGGTTGCTCCTGTCCCTCACAGGTTGGTGCTGGCTGCTGGCCAGAGTTCTCCATGGAGTGTCCCTCACTCCCCGAGGGGAATGAGCCAAAGAAAAGTGAGAAGGCAGGCATGGTGCCAGCTCCAGGTTCCCCATTATCCCATAGCAGGCTGTTCCTGGGAGACCTTTTGTAATCTGGAATGGCATAAAGCAAAGAAGCAGCAGTCAGTTGTGTGGGAGATGTGTTTGAGTGTTCCCAGACCCCCCCCCCCCAAATAAACTGCCAGGTTATATCAAATAATACATAAAGCCTAAAATAATAAGAACGTGTTTGCAGACAATTAAAAGTGTGGCACTCATGGGAGTTCCTGGGGAGGCAGCGAGGTGATCCACTCTGTCGCTGCATGGAGTGCATCCTGCTGTGATGGCAGTGGCGTGATGTTTCAGACACCCCCCCCCCCACTGAAAGTGAAAATCCATATTGGGTTTATTTAAGCAAAAACAGGTATTGATGTGGGTCTTTTGTAAACGTGAAATGATATAAAGTGAACTTGGAAGAAGCAGAGAACCTGTGGCTAGTTTTAGGAAGATGACACCACCTCTTCTGCCGAATGTTTGTTTAAAAGACAGTCACTTAGGTCAAGCCATTGTTCACGGCGTGAAGACTGAAGCTTCGTTTTGGAAAACAGGGCATGAGAAAACACATGGGCACATTTGAATGACCACATAGTCCTTTACTTTTTTTTAGTTTATGGGTAAATTAAGGAGCCTTGGTGGCACAGTGTTTAAGCGCCACTGCTTCCTGGTTTGCACTTACTAGTGGCACCTTTAGAGAAACGACCTGGTGTTCGGTGGTAATGACCATGCAGGAAGCCTTTTGGGACAGTTGTAGCCTTTCACATGGAGCATCATGTGACATGGGCGAATTCTGAACCCAGCACTCCACAAAAGCCTGTGATTGTCCCGCTTAATCAAGTCTGATTTTTTTTTTCTGGAGGGTATCCAGTCTTCCTTCTTCAGTCTTAAATTTGAGGAATAGCCTTAGAAGTCAAGTCATTCAGTTTAGGAAAACAAAATTTCTTTCTCCCATTTGTCAGGAGTAATACTAACTTAGAAAATTGGCTAGTAAAATATTTTCTAAAGGAGTTAGAATGTACAGTATTTTTTCGTTTTCCAGTTTGGAGGCTTCTACACAATATTCATTAGATACAATTGCCTTGGCCCAAAGCTAGTGCCCGTGTCCTGATGTGAAGACTCCTGATGCCAACCCACCTGTGCCCATGATGTAGAGAAAACAATGTGTAGTAGTTCCTGAATGAATCCACGTGGCTTAAAGTTAGCTCCAGATGCCGCCTCCAAACTGACCAAGAGATTGTACTGTGTAATCTAGTCCAGTTAACACTTGACCAGAGCCTGGGCCAGGGTGTAAACACTTAGAAGATCATCACTCTTCGGGAAAGGAATCGTACACATGCCTTCTCTCTGCCCTGCCCTCATGGACACTGGGGATCTGGAAGGCTTTGCACTAAGAGTCACGTTAGCACAGCCCAGGGAACAGCCTGCACCTCCGACGTCCTCAGGGCGTGACCCCACGATAGGTTTCTAAGGCCTTGATCTTGAAGGCTTGACTGAGTGGTAGGTGGACACACAACGATAGTTCTTGTTTTACCGAGTGGGATCATGACAACTTGTGAGCCATGTTCCAGTTTCTCTCAGCGTCTTCCGACAGTCCCTGTTCTGACTTCAGCATTCTTTGTACCTGCTGACTTTTTAAAAACTAAATTTTAATGTTATTTTAAAAAAAAAATTTATTGTGATTTTTAACAAACGTTTACAGGAGACTTGTATTCCATTCATTCATTGTTGTTGTTGCACTTTTCCCTCCTTACTGCCCCCTGCCTTTGCTTTTCTCTTTAAAAATTTCATTCACTAACTGATTTTTAATTCCCCCTTGTGTCTTGTTAACCCCTTCCCTCACTATAAGCTTTTTTAGGGCAGGGATTTGTGTCCTGTTGGAATGCAAGTGACTACTGGATTGAGTTGAATTTGTGGTTGGTGAACCTAAAA